AGTTTCTCATGTCAAAGATATGTCATAAAATATTGTGAAAATTTCAGAAAAATACGGTGTACAAGTTCCTTAAAATAATTTTTCACAATTAAAGAGTTGTATTTAAAAAAAAGTAACATGAAAAGTAACTGTAAAAGAAACTATGAAGAAATAATAATTAACATTATGTTTCTAGATAAAACGTATATAAATATAGATATGATGAAGATGATGACAACTTGAAAAAATAAAGCTTACCAGGAAGAGTGTAAAACCGTTTTTTAATTAGACAATATTTTGTTAATCAAAATAATAAACAAGGGGAATAATGCGCATAAAACAGGGTGAAAAATATACATTAAATCGTAAAGATAGTTATGACGAAACTCATAATAAGATACGTGTATTAAATACATCGCAGCACTACTACATGAATCTAGGAGATTAAATTCTATGAGACTAAATTGTTCTTTACAGACCGAATTATGAAATTAAATAAATTAATAAAGAAATAAATAAGATATTTGTAATAGGTCGGGAAGTGTGCCTGTAGTATTGTCATAGTGATAATTTGAGAATTGTGGATTTAAATTGCATTACTGTAATCAGTGTCAAATAGTAGTTGAGTATTTTGTGATTATTTTTATAATTGATTATTAAAATTGATCATGATAATCACAGCTATTAATCAATTAAGCATTTCTGGAAAAGATAGTAAAATATAAAAAATTTGATAACCTGTAATCATTAATCATTAATTTGCAACCTATCCTGCAGATTGTCAAAAAAATTTTAGCATCGTTATATGATTAAATATCATGATTTCTGTATTACTCGGTAAATGTATTTATCAATCACGAACGCGATCTTATGTTAATTATAATCGTTAGTAACTGAATTACTCTTTGTCCAACTCTGACTGTAATCTAAAGTGTGTAATACTATCATTGGAAGACAATTATTCGGTTTTATTAAAGATCTGATTACACTTTATACATGTATTTATAGCAAAAAATTTTCTCATAAACCTGAGACACGACACGTAATTGGATCAAGTTCTTTTAAGAGTAACGGGGGTCTCACGCGAATGCTCATGTGACTGATAATATAGTGTGTCTATTTGTAGCGGAACGCAACAAATATTTTGAAAAATATAAATGATAAGGAAAAATGTTTCACATCGAAGCTATAGTTGTATGATGTCAAGAAACAGATATTATATTCCTATTTATTTGACTTACAATTATCTTAGAACATCCAATAAAGATGACAATATTATTTCGAAATGGATAGTGTAATTAACATAGATTTTTATAGCCAACATCAAGACG